AACAACAATGTCCAAGAGTTTCCCCATGATGTAGATAACAAAGGCAAAAAAGTGTAGGGACATCAAATGAAAGCATGCTACTCAACAATGGTACAACTCAAGAGTTATTGCATGCATGTCTTCATTATACTTTTTTTTATTTATCTTTATCCTATGACAATTGTAAATTATTAATTATTCATGGACTTTATATATAGCCACGTACTCTTATAGTCCTCTCCTTCACGCAAGTAGCAATGCAAATATCATGGACAGTTCACCAGGACATTACCTTCCACTCTCTAACATCACAAATATCATTTTAAATGGAAGGTATTTCATAACACAAAATCACAACTTATAAGACTTATAAATAAAAATTAAATAATCATACGTTTTATGCGATCCTTACATTTTCACAGTGCAAGCAACCAAACAGCTAAAGGAGATGTGGCCATAGAATCACATTCCAAAAGAAGATCTTTCTTACAACAACAACATCAATTTCAAAGTGGAAGTCTGCAGAAAGATATACGCAGTCAACTGCAAAATACTGGTATTGTGTTTAGTGTCAACCTCATATATGATAATACATGTATATCATATTTATATGATGTTTAAAATTATTACAAATTTGAACACATAAATACACATGTATGCTTTTTAATAAATGTTTGTAAATGATAATAAATTGCAAATTTTTTGGAAATAATTTTTTTTCATGCATCCAACGCATTGAAATGATATCTCTTTATACATGTCTATCACATTTATTCAATATAAAATCTTATTAACTTTTGATACAACATGTGTTGTTCAAAATCAACATTCTCTTACAAATTTTGATTCTAATGAAGAAGTGGGAACCTCAACAAATGCAATCTTGAGTGGTCCGTACATGAACACACAGTTAAGTGCGATCCGAGATCAATCAAAAAGAAAAAGAAGAGCCATCTATGATGATTCTAGAGGTGTAAATCTAATGAACAAATTTTCAGAAGAGGGTTTAAGTTTTGACAATGAAGTTGTTGTGCATAATCCTTGCAATACGACTCCATCATCATCATGCCAAGGCATGCGTTATATGAGCCAAAACCAAGCTATAAATTCAAGTCAGAGTGTGAGCATACATGAAACGTATGGCCCACAAGGAAATGAACAAATTCATTCTGATAGTGATGTTGATCAATTTGAAGGTAACCGAGAACTTCTAATCATCAATATAAATAACACAACATTGATTTCATATGCTAATTCAATCGTGATGACACGAGTTCAAACGAGGAGTCACCCGATGTAACACCCTGGCCCCATCAGACCCGAGGTAGTTACTCTGGACCAATAGTACTGTCCCCACAAACCACCACGAGCCTTTACCGCGCACTTTGTCCTCACTCATGCGCGCCCTGAGAAACTTCCCAGGGGGTCACCCATCACAAGACTACTCCCGTGCAAGCACGCTTAACTTTGGAGTTCTTGGGTGATGAGCTCCCTTAAAAGGAGATGCACCTCTGTTGGTATGAGTAGTACTATTAATCCATTTATATTAAATCTCAAGTGTTACAATCACCCCCACTTAGGATCGCAACGTCCTCGTTGCGCCCTTAAACTAATCTCAATCAAATCCCAGAATCTTTTCCCCTGCTAGGTGTCTGCCCGATATCCAACGGATCAGCACACTGTTGCAGGGTTGCTCTGATACCACCTGTAACACCCTGGCCCCATCGGACCCGAGGTAGTTACTCTGGACCAATAGTACTGTCCCCACAAACCACCACGAGCCTTTACCGCGCACTTTGTCCTCACTCATGCGCGCCCTGAGAAACTTCCCAGGGGGTCACCCATCACAAGACTACTCCCGTGCAAGCACGCTTAACTTTGGAGTTCTTGGGTGATGAGCTCCCTTAAAAGGAGATGCACCTCTGTTGGTATGAGTAGTACTATTAATCCATTTATATTAAATCTCAAGTGTTACACCCGATCCTCATGAAAGTGCTACAGAATTTGATTTTGCTCAAGGTATCAATAATTAAATAATTTAGTGCAATTTAACTCATATTCACCATTTATTCCTTATGATAAATATTTATTCGTTTATAGGATACTTTGATATTGGAGATCCGCTTATTGAGTGTGAAAAATGCAAGGCATGCATGTGGTATCAAGAAAGATCAAATAAATATAAAGACACCACATTACCTAAGTATAATCTTTGTTGTGGGAAGGGAAAAGTTCAATTGCCACTACTCAAGGACCCCCCTATACTTCTTCAGCATCTTTTGTTTGGTAATGATGTTGATAGCAAAAACTATCAACGACATATTAGAGTGTACAATATGATGTTTGCATTCACATCGCCTGGTGCAAAAATTGATAAGTCAATCAACGATGGTCGAGGCCCGCCGACATTCAAAATACAGGGTCAAACATGCCATCGAGTGGGAAGCATGTTACCTATGCCAGGTCAACCTCCAAAGTTTGCCCAACTATACATATATGATACTGAGCATGAGATACAAAATAGGATTCGAGGAGTAAGGTTAGCATGTGCATTAATTTTATCAAGAACACTAAAAACAATTTTATTAATTATTATTTCTCATTATATGTGATTGTTCAATTTTATTTGATGCTTTGTAGAAACCCAGATGACATAGATGATCAGATTGTGAGCAAATTATCAGCCATGCTACATGAATACAATGTGCATGCAAAATCCTTTAGGATGGCTAAGGAAAGACTGCAAGACGCACCTATGCAGGATCTGCGGTTAAAGTTGATTTCGGACAGAGTTAGCGATGGCCGAGTATATAATCTTCCTACGGTTTCAGAAGTTGTTGCTCTTATTGTTGGAGATGTTGACACTTCATCAAAAAGAGATATAATAATGGAGACCCAAAGTCGTACACTTCAGCGAATAAGTGAGTTGCATACTAGCTATTTGAGTTATCAGTATCCCCTTTTATTTCCTTATGGAGAGGATGGATACAGGCATGACGTGCTTCATAGAGATACGGGTAGTTCTAATAGTTCTATAAGAAAACGTCTTACCATAAGAGAGTGGCTGTGTTTTAGACTACAAACCAGAAAAAAAGAGGCGCTCACATTGCTGAGATCAAGAAGATTATTTCAGCAATTTGTGGTTGATGGCTATACTATGCTTGAGTCAGAGAGGTTATCTTTTATCAGGAGAAACCAGAAAAAGCTAAGAGTTGATAAATACAGTAACCTCAGTCAACCAAATCACGACATACAAGGTCAAGGATATGAAAAGGGTAAAAGAATTGTACTACCGTCGACATTTGTAGGAAGTCGTCGATACATGGATCAACTTTACTTTGATGGTATGGCAATTTGTGGTTTTGTTGGCTTTCCTGATTTCTTTATCACGTTCACTTGCAATCCCAACTGGCCTGAGATTCAGAGAGTACTTGAACCATTAAACTTGAAGCCACATGATCGTCCTGATATTCTTGCAAGGGTCTTCAGAATCAAGTTTGAAGAGTTATTAATAGATTTAAGGAAAAGGCATATATTCGGAAAAGTTCTTGCATGTAAGTTTTAAATATGAATTCATTACATATTTCTTATTCAAACTACACGTTTACAGTTGCAATTCATTTATTATAAAATTTTATTTTGCTAATATATTTTCAGATATGCATACAATTGAGTTCCAAAAAAGAGGATTGCCCCATGGTCATATACTCATTTTTTTGCATCCTTCGAGCAAGTACCCAACAGCCGATGATATTGATAAGATTATCTCAGCAGAGATACCTGATCAAGAGTCTGAGAAAGAATTATACAACTTGGTCAAAACTCACATGATTCATGGTCCATGCGGTTTAGCGAATCCTTCATCGCCGTGCATGCAGGACAGAAAGTGCAACAAGTATTATCCTAAGCAATTCCAGGCAAGTTTGTTTTTAATAAATAAATAAATAAACAACACCACATTTTATTTGTATTACCCCAAGTCTGGTCTAATCAGGAATACATCACTTAAGTTTGATATGTGTGGTCTGATATAGAATTCCATATAATAGAGACATCCCAATTCTGCTAATTAATTAATCTAAATATGTGACTGCACACATAGCCACTATTTTACTAGAGTTACTACCGATCAAAATTAATATTTTTACATTTACTTAAGATATTTGGGATATTACGACTTAGATCGTTACAAACAGGTAGATTAAGTTATATCGTCGCAATAGTTTCATACATTTGCTAATGAATGATATAAAATTAGACTAAAATATTACAAACTAATAAATAATAAGAAGTATATGACTATGGTATTAACTACTCATATTGAAAAAAATGTAACTTTTATACACAATCACTACTATAAATTTTAAGCATGTAGGACCCTCATGAAAAATAAATCAAAACTTATACTCTATCGCACGATAGACTAATACTACAAGCTAAACATCAATTTCAAATTTTAAGAACACATGAAATATATAACATTTACAATTTTTTCAGGAATCAACGACGCTTGACGAAGATGGTTATCCTATTTATAGGAGAAGAGCCAAAGGAAGGAAAATTGAAAAATCTGATACTATCTTTGACAATTGTCATGTTGTGCCTTATAATCCAAAATTGTTGTTAAAGTACCAAGCGCATATCAACATGGAATGGTGTAATCAAATCACTTCGATCAAATACTTATTCAAGTATATCAACAAAGGATATGACCGGATTATAGCCGTTATTGTTCCAACACACGATGATGTGTCGCCCCAAAATGAGAATATTGACGAGATCAAGCAATATCTTGATTGCAGGTATGTCTCACCATGTGAGGCCTGTTGGAGGATTTTTTCTTTTCCTATTCATGGTAGATCTCCAGCCGTCGAAAGACTTTTTTTTCACCTACCCAATGAGCAATCCGTGTTCTTCAGTGACAACGATAACCTTGAGTCTGTGCTAACAAGAAAAACTGTTAAAGAATCAATGTTTACATCTTGGATGCAAGCAAACAAAATCTATCAAGAAGGAAAAGACTTAACCTATGCAAAGTTCGTTTCAAGATTTGTGTATGTAGCTAGCAAGAGGTGTTGGAAGCCACGAACGAAGGGTTACACTATTGGTAGACTCATCTGGGTACCTCCAACAACAGGTGAACTATTCTATTTAAGAATGATGCTCACTGTAACAAAAGGGCCACATTGTTATGAGGATATTAGGACGGTTGCCAACATTCAATATCCGACCTTTAGAGAAGCGTGTTTTGCGGCGGGATTACTTGGGGATGATAAAGAATATATTGGAGCATTAAAAGAAGTTAAGGACTGGGCATCAGGGCACTACTTGAGAAAATTGTTTGTAACTCTGCTCTTATCATGTCCCGTCAGCAGACCTGAGCATGTATGGGAACAAACTTGGCAGTGGTTGGCTGATGGAATTTTGTATGAACAACGAAGGCTCTCGAAAATCCAAGGTAAGTCAGATCAATTAAAAATTAATTGTTCTCTAATCATTTGTAATATGAAAAATTATTCATGAGGCTTACTCTACCAAAAAAGTAATAAGATTTGTGATTAAAAGTATCACCCTGAATTGGATTCACCTTAATTATATTTTAATTCGATTAGAAAACATAAAGTATATATGATTACTTTAGCAGATCTATGTTACTCTTTTAAATTTTTTACTAATTACATAATTAAAAAAATTAGTATAACATTAAATTAGTTATTTCCTATTACCATAAATTAACATTATTTTCCGATTACTGCAATCAACTTTTCTTACCTTAAGTATTAAAATAATTCACGTATCAAGTAACATATAATTTATTTCACCTGTCAAGTAACGTAAATTTGTCATTCATTTTCATAAAAGAATATATTCAAATAAAAATATTTCATAATTTCAATTGTCTGCATATCTCATTTGTAATTTATTTGCATCAATGTGACAAATTGAATGATTTACAATAAAAACATAATGAGAGTGAACACATACACATGAACATCTTCTTCTAATTACTAATTCAATTGTGTTTATTACATTTGTAGATTTACAACTTAGTGATCAAGAGTTGCAAAATTTAACTCTTGTGGAGATCGAGAAGTTGATGCAGAAAAAGAGAAAAAGTCTAAAAGATTATCCCTCAATACCGTATCCAAATGGATATATCACGGAACAACTAGGGAATAGGCTTATTTATGCAGAACGTGATTATGATACATCCAAGTTGCGTGAGGAGTTCCAAACTTTGTATGCTTCTCTTACTGGTAAAATAAATACAATTCATATGATTTATAAGTCAAATTAAATGATTTTGAGAGTCAAGAAAAAAAATGATTTCCTGCATATATTTTGATGCTAATGTTGCAGATGAACAGAAAGGCATATTTGACACAATAATGGAAGCTGTGACTAACCAAAAAGGCGGAGTATACTTTTTATATGGTTATGGTGGTACAGGAAAAACATTTATGTGGAGGACACTAGCTTCTGCCTTACGTTCTCAGCGCCATATTGTTTTAACTGTCGCGTCCAGTGGTATAGCTTCTCTACTCTTACCTGGCGGTAGAACTGCACACTCTAAATTTTCAATCCCAGTTCCCACTCTAGAGAACTCTACATGCAATATACATCAAGGGAGTGAACTTGCAGAGCTCTTAAAACAGACTAAGTTGATAATATGGGATGAAGCAACAATGGCTAATAAATTTTGTTTTGAAGCACTAGACAGAAGCCTAAATGACATCATCAACAATGATGGTGATTCAATTTTACCATTCGGAGGAAGAGTGGTTGTCTTTGGAGGAGACTTTAGACAAACTTTACCAGTTATTCCTGGCGGAAGCCGTTCAGACATTGTTAATGCTACAATCAATTCTTCATATCTATGGGATGACTGTCAGGTATTAACTCCATTTTTAGTACCATAACAAATATATTTACTTTTACTATAGTTTACAAATTCATTTAACCACAATATAATGAATAATAAAGTACCACTAATTACTTTATATTAGCTCAAATTCATTCGTTCACTTCTAGCTTAAACAAAGTACCACTAATTACATTAATTATTTAACTATTTCGCCTAATTACTTTATATTTTTTTTTAAATAATTACTTTACAAGTTATACTCAAATATATGTATTATTGTTTTTTGTTTATTGATAGGTACTGTCTCTTACTAAAAATATGCGACTTCAAAATAGTTTGGATATGACAAGTGCTACCGAGCTCAAAGAATTTTCAAAATGGATACTGGATGTGGGGGATGGAAAAATATCAGAGCCAAACGATGGTTATGCAGAAATAAAAATTCCAGATGAATTCTTGATTAAAGAATTTGATGATCCAATTGATGCAATAATTCGTAGTACGTATCCTAACTTACTGGAGCAATACAAAAATGAGGAATTTCTCAAGTCTAGAGCTGTCTTGGCATCAACTATTGAAATTGTCGATAAAATAAACGACTATGTTCTTTCAATGCTCCCATGTAATATTATAAAAATGCTACCTTCCTTATTTACTTACAAAATAAATTATTAAACAAATTTAATAATTAAATTAAGACTAATGAAATTTTATAACTACAAGTGAAGAAAGAGAATATTTAAGTTGCGATTGTGTAGACAAGTCAGATGTAGTTGAAGCAGAAGCATTTGAAGCGTTGACACCAGAATTTCTCAATTCCTTAAGAACATCAGGTCTCCCAAATCACAACATACGACTTAAGGTTGGGACTCCAATAATGTTGCTAAGAAATATAGACCAGTCAGAAGGACTATGTAATGGAACTAGATTGATTGTCACAAGACTGGGAAATCATGTCATCGGAGCACGAATCTTGTCTGAAGGCAATATTGGAGATGAGATTTACATACCTCGAATGTGTATGTCTCCTTCTCAATCACCATGGCCTTTTAAACTTATCAGAAGACAATTTCCTATAATGGTCTCATATGCGATGACAATCAATAAATCTCAAGGACAATCACTGGAAAGAGTTGGATTATACCTGCCGAGACCTGTTTTTAGTCATGGACAATTGTATGTGGCATTATCAAGAGTTCAAAGCAAACATGGATTGAAGATTTTAATACATGATAAGGATGGAAAGTCATCAGACACAACTACCAATGTTGTATTCAAAGAGATTTTCCAAAATCTCTAATACTTAGGTTTAAAATTTAACTTGATATTCATTTTATTAACTTACACTTTATGATATTCAAATATTGTACTCGCTTCTAAGAAGAATACCAATTTTTTGAAATTAGTTTCCTTTTCTAATTAAGTACATCATGATTACAAATATATCCATAAATTATGTCCCGTGCGTATGCACGGGTACTGTACTAGTTAGAGCAAAAAATCTTACCGGGAAGGCCCCCAAATAGAGGAGGCCGGACGGCCCTCCTGTCCGGAAATTCCGGACAAAAATAATCCTCTTCTTATAGTTATGTTACCTTTTGCGATTTATTAAAACAAAGGAGTACACAAAGTAGGAGGGCTAAGCCAATGCCTACAAATTATAAAGCATATTGGTAACTAATTGCATTTAAAAGGGGGTAAATAAGGCATTTTGTCTATGAATTCCGATCACAAACAAAACTTGTTTTATGGGGTAAGGTCAGTAATAATACGAAGTACTAATTAAGATAAGACTTGTTTCAAAAAATTCCAAAAACAGAACTTTCGCTCGCTGGCATCACTGACTGGTTGGTATCAATACACTGCAAACTAAATACGTAACCTTACGTATCAGTCCTCCTGCCCATTTCCCTCTTCCCAAGATGCGGATCGATGAGAAATGTTTGATTTTAAATCTTCGGTTTTATGATAAAAAAAATCTTCGATTTTATGCAATTATTTGGTACAATTATTTGTTTATGATTTATAGTTTCCACCAGTTACAATTACTTCATCCGATCCGTTACAGTTGCCCGATCCGTTAATTACAGTTACCCGATCCAATCAATTACATGATACCCGACTAGAGGAGGGACTTGGCGCACCTCTAGTTTAATGCAGAAGAGTGAATTGACCATTTCAGTGTTGGCGGTCTCCCCATATACTAATATGTTTTTTTTTGTATTTGTATTTTCTGATGGCATTATTGTGACACTGCAAAAAAAAATCACATGTTCGAATTTCATCCCAGAACAAAGATGTTGGCCTTAAGATAAAAAAAACACTATAATTTATAGGTTAGGAAGTTTTGTCAAAAAGATAAAGTATTTTTGTGAACATATTTTGTGTATTACAATTTTGCCCCCAATAGTTTTTATTCCTGGATCCGCCACTGTGGGAGCACCTCTTTAACTACAAAACTGGACACATCTGCCCCTGTTTATGTACTCCGTTTGACACAATGGTTTGCTTAAATGCTCTCCATTGATTTTTTTTGACAATTCTTGATGTTTTGAACGTCCTTTGCTTTAGTACACCCTAGCTTTGTTTTTTTAAAAATAAGCATCTTTAGAACATACTACCTCCATCCTATTTTATGTCTCATTTGGTTTTGACACAATTTTTAATAAAGTGAGTGAAAAGGTAAAAGTTGTGGTTGAGATTTGAGTATAATAAAATGGAATGTTGCGAACCACATGCATATCTTTTTCCAAAAAAGAAAATGTGAGACTTATTTTGAAATAACCCAAAATGGAAAGTAAGACAGGTAAAATGAGATGAAGCCCCTTTCTAATAAAATTAGGATTACAAATTCTAATACCCATCCAACAATGATTTGATATTTTTTTGTAAAAATTGGAATATTAATGAAAAAGTTATACGTAGTAATATATTACAACGTGATGGCAAATTATTGGATGAGGAGTCATTTTAAAATTGATACTCTATGTTATTCCATATAGGTATTTCACCCGTGCGTTGCACGAGGTGTAAAACACTAATACTATAAATCTCAACTTCTAAATATAATTAAAGATTATATTATAGTTTATCACGGGAATAGTGCTGGACTCGGGCCGGTTCGGGCCCGGTTCGGGCCTGGGCCCGGCCGGGCCTCGGGCCAGGAAAGTTGGGCCCGAGCCCGAACCGCCGGTGGGCGGTTCCGGTTCCGGTTCCGGTTCCGGGCCAAACCGGGCCGGGCCGGGCCTAACCGGTTATATTTTTTTTTTGGCTCTTCTATTTAACCCCCAACCCCTCCCCCTCAATCCCAAACCACCCCAAACCACCTCAAATGGCCCAAAATACCTAATCCAACCCAAAACTTAAAAAAAATTCAAACAAAAAAAATTTAAAAAATTAAAAACCAACCCGAACCGGGCCCGAACCGGCCGGGCCGGTTCACCAAAAACAGGGCCCGAGCCCGAACCGCCCAGCAGCCGGGCCGGGCCGAACCGAACCGGTGGACCCACCGGGCCCCGGGCCGGGCCAAACAGTAACCGGGCCGGGCCGGTTCCGGGCCGGGCCGCCCGGCCCGAGTCCAGCACTACACGGGAATAAGAGTAACCATCAATAAATATATAATAAAAAATATTTGAAGTTTAATAAGCACACGTCACAAGTTACAAATTTTGACGACTTCTTTGTAGACAACATTTTCTGCGGTTTTTTTAATACCCTCGTCGTCGCATATCACGAACTTCAAGCCAGACGAAGTGACGAACTCGTTACCCTCGAAACTACAACACATAACTGCCCATGTGTAAAAAAAGGATGTCGTAGAAAAGTAAAAACTGTGTTGTTGCAGTTTATGATGAGGTGAGCTAAATAAGGATAATAATGAATTCATTACTTTGAAAGAAGTAAAGATCAGTTACAAAAATATTACAAACAAAAAGGGAAAGTTAACGAAGCTCCATGAGACAAACAAAAAAAAGTTCTTGATTCAAACTGTTCTTTAGTACTCCCTCCGTATTTCAAAGATCTCTACAATAGGGTTGGACACAACATTTAATGGTGAAATAATAGGAGTGATGAATAGTGTAGAAAAAGTAGGAGAGAAGGTGTAAAAGTGTGAAAGAGAAGATAAAAAGTAGAAAATGTAAGGATAATTGAGTATTTTTTACAGGAAAAAACTTACCAAAAATAGAAAGTGTAGCAAACTTTTAAATACATCCAAAAAAGGAAAGTGTAGCAAACTTTTTTTTTTTGGAAGAGTGTAACAAACTTTAAAATACCGAGTGAGTAATTTAATTCCTACTTTACTTTTGTAGATAATTAGTAGTGAACAAAAGAAACACATTGTGTATATAATTTTCATTTCAGGAAACAATTAACAATCTTAAATGATAATTTAATCATTAAATATTAAAAATAATACTCCCTCTGTCCCAATTTGATGATCCCGTATTTCCTTTCTAGGCCGTCCCAAATTGATAGTCCTATTTCCCTTTTTGGAAAGAAATATGTGGTTCACATCATTTCACCTTTTTCTATTCAATTCTCAACCACAACTTTTACCTTTTCAACCATTTCCTTAATCTTTGAGCCCAAAAGAAATGAGATCATCAAATTGGGACGAAGGGAGTATATTTATATCATCACAGTTATCAACATTAACTCTTTTATATTGTATACCTATTAAAATTATTTTTTAAAATATATTCAAACTAGTTTAATTAACTATGTCGTGTTGCCATGAAAACCTTTCTACGGGACAGAGGTAGTAATCTAAATTACTCACATTTCATTAGTACTAACAATCTATCACAACTACATCAAGTATATACTTTTTTTCTGAAAAACCCTCACCGAAAATCATTTACACATATCCCACAGCAAAAAAGAATTTTCTCAACTTGTCAAATAACCTATAAAAGGCACAATTGTAACATACATATTACTTTTTAAACAAAAAACATATTTAGATTTGAGAAGACATCCTATAAAAAGTAAAAAAGATAACGCTCTTGCACCCATCGATTGACAATAATCTTATGATCTATGTTGTCGCCCACGATGCCGTGCTGACTTGCCACTGCCTTTTATGCCCTTATGAGCAAATTGTTGCACATTGCTCTGTAAGGCTAAATGAGTGTTTGGGATTGATTAAAAAAAGCGCTTTTCAGCTTTTGGCTTAAAAAAAGTTGAAAAGAGTGTTTTCAAATGATAGCTTCTGCTTAAATTAATCACTTAAAAGCTAAAAGCTGGAAGCAGGTAGAAGGGTGCTTTAAACTGCTTCTCACTTTTTCTATTACACAAAAAGTACTTATTTTACCAAACACTACCAACTTTTACTTTTTCAGAATCACTTTTTTCTCAAACACTACCAACTTTTACTATTAATCACTTTTCCCAAAATCACTTTAAAAAATCACTTTTTTAAAGTTGAAGCAATCGCAAA